TGACATTTAGTATACTTAGATATATGTATACGTGGGAGTTTTCGTGGCTGCCAATTAAGGGTGAGCAGTTATCTTGAGTGGGGACGACGTTAAATACAAGTTTTTCAACTCATACACAACTTCTCACATTCTGGTTCTTATTAATTGTCACTTATTGCCATTAACTTCATCTTTGCACTTATTCATCTCCTCAATAAAAATATAATTAGCATTAAATTTCACCAAATTTCTCAAACAAAGTTCTATTCTTCATGAAAATGTTAGTATTATTATCGAAACAAATACAATTAAAATTTAACTATTATTTATTTAATATAGTTAAATATAACTAAGTCATACTAAAATTTAGATATTAAATGTAGATAAAAAAACCACTTACCAAATTCATTGTCATTAATCATCATTAACATTTTATGAATTAATGCTAGAATTATTGAGTGTTTTTTCTTTATGAGAATTAATGACCAATGTTAGTGGGTGCTTTTCATTAAGAATTAATGGAAAACAAGTTATGAAATCAAGAGCCCTCTTGCTCTATAAAAATTTCCAATATCAAATAAGCTTTCTTCACACAATACTTAAATAATGGGCATCATGATTAGAAGGTAGATGACATGTGAGACAATCGATTTCTGAATTAGAAATCCTATTCATTGGTTCATGATGATCTCGACTAGAGGAGATGAACAACGAGATGAAGGTATAAAGATAGTTGTTGGTCATCAGTTTTAGCTTCTTATTTTATAATGTTGTTAGTGAAATTCATGAAATCATTGCTCAAAATAAAATTTTCTATTAGGCTATCACTAAAATCATTGATCATATGAATTGGTCATATAATTTTTCTATTATATGACAACGTTGTTTACTACAATCCCTGAAATCATTGCTCAAAATAAAAGTGATAGACAATTTAGTAATAAGAGTATTCTTGACTTGGTATCGTGCTAATGTGACCACGAACTTAACTTATGGTATGAATAGATATAAGTGAAAAAACCTCTCATATTTGTCCTCTCATTACCTAATTATCCTCTCATTACCTAATTATTGATCTAGATCTACATTGAGAAAAAATTAGGCTATCACTTTTAATTTATCAACCCACGTTAGCAGCAAAGAAAATTTTTTAACACATGTTATTAGCTTTATATGTGCATGTTTTACATAATGAAACAAAATAGAAAAGTAAAAATAAATGGTTCGTCAAGGGTTCGATTTAAAAAGAAGAAAATACATTTATCTCTAACCCCTTATTTTCAAAGCATTTATTTTTAAGTTCCAAACTAAATTGACATTAGTAGCCTAAATATGAAAAAATCTATAAAGCACAAAGAAAATTTTAAGTTAGGCCACTAGATACCCTAAAATTACATATGCATGCTTTACTTAAAATCTATAAAGCACAGAGAAAATTTTAAGTTAGGCCACTAGATACCCTAAAATTACATATGCATGCTTTACTTAACTAATGAAACAAAATTGAAAAGAAATAACAGTTTATTCTACATGTATTTTGTTTCTAATATCGTAACTTCTTCCTTCGCGTTTTTGTTGTTCAGATACACATAGTGGATACGTTGGTTTCGTATAAGAACGACGAGTGGGACGAAAAGTAGAATACTTTTGTGAGGTGGTATTCTGTGAATTGTTCATTCACATTGAGTGTGGAGGTGTGATGAACAAAGAGTTTATTCTACATGTATTTTGTTTCTAATATTGTAACTTCTCCATAGCCTTCTATAGGAAAGTCATAACAGTTCGCCTCTTCACACTTGCTAAATCTACTTTCTCCTTCTCCTCTTGCACCACAATTTATTTTTCATTCATTATCAATAAGAACTTTGGGGCTACATATAAACATGAAACTTAATACACGTGCATCGCACATGCACCATACTAGTTAGATTAAAAGACCTTATTCCACTAGGATTAAGATTTAATTAAGATGTCTACAGCAACTCAAATTCTAATGACTACCACATGCAATCATGGTTGAAGATTTTGAAATCAAATTATTTTGGGATTTGAGTCACACCACAACATTTTGCAAGTAATGTGTCAACTTAAAATGTCATTAGTGCATGCATTATGCATACTTGAATCATGAGTTACTTTTAAATTGTAGTCTTTATTTCAGAGGCAATTAAAACAATTGTTATGGAATCCAAAGAGTCTGCAAGTAATGTGTCAACTTAAAATGTCATTAGTGCATGTATTATGCATACTTGAATCATGAATTATTTTCAAATCGTAGTCTTTATTTAAGAGGCAATTAAAACAATTGTTATGGAATCCAAAGAGTCTACCTTTGTGTCATAATTTTTTATGTTATAATTAGGAGTACTAAGAGATTTCACTTGCAACCAATATAAAGATGGGTTTTACTCTTTGATTACTTAATCCTTGAAAGTCATTTCTCTAGTTACAACCCTCTCATTATCAAACAATTGAGAATTAAGACATGATGAAATAATATGCCTATTTAAATTTGACGCTATTTTATTAAAATTGTTATTTCTATTTATTCAAAACGGAGACTTATTTTGTTAGGTTTTCTGTTTTGGAGGTACTATTATAGGATCATGTTTCTTTAAATTAATCATCTACTTGCTTTAATATATACATATCTTGAAGTTTATAATAATTATTTTCTCCATAATGTCTAACAACTTAGACCACCAGATTGTATCAATTTTCTTTTTTATAATATTATCAGTATTTATTTGTCAAACAATTGATAATTAAGGTATAATGAAATAATTTGCCTACTTAAATTTGACGCTATTTTATTAGAATTGTTATTTCTATTTATTGAGAACAAAGACTTATTTTGTTAGATTTTCTATTTAGGTGGTAATGCTACAGGATCATCTTTCTTTAAAGTAATCTTTAAAATTTACTTGCCTTCATTCTATATATATTGAAGTTTGTATTGATTATTTTTGTCCATAATGTCTAACAATTTAGACCACCAGATTGTATCAATTTTATTTTTATAATATTATTAATATCTATTATTTTTAACATAAATGTAAAATTTTGCAAATGTATACAGGGTGTGGCACGCCCAAAATCTAGGGATCAAATGGCATTTTTAAGTTGATGAGGGTTATGTCAAGTTCCATGTCCACCAAAAAAAACTATGTTGTCGTGCGCATCATTTTATATTATCGCTTTAGTGTATTCAGTTTACTCTCAATTAACTCTACAAGCTACAAATACTTTGATATATATATGCATAGTCACTTGATATAAGGATTTTAAATAAACTCATTTTATAGTCTCTCTACGGGATTCAAACTATCTTAAATTCTTGAGAATATTGATCTCAAAAGCCATGTTAAAGAAATATTGCATTTCTCAATATTCAAGTGAATAAATGATAGTAGAATAAGTAGAGTACATATAACTAGCAATGCAATGAGCAGATTAGTGCTTGTAGTTGTATATGAGGTTGTTTGCTTCCACTCTACATAGTTTTAGCTAAAATGTGAAATAATTTAGCATATGATGTGACTATTTAATATTAAGAAAATAACGAACAATCAGGACTTACGTACTATTATGTATGTAATGTTCAAAACTGTTGTGATACTATTCTTCAAAACTTTAAATCAAAACCTAAGTCCGTGTGTAACGCCTACGCATTACACTAGTCAATTTAAAGACAAATCATTGGGTTTTTTTGTGTAATTTATCCATAAGTTTTCTATGTGATGATTTATGTGGAGGATGCTTAGGCAAATTATTCATGTTTCAAGAAATATACACACATCATTGAGTAACACAGGTGTAATTGCCTGAGCTTATTTTCGCAGTTTCAGGTGTAATAATGACTAAAACGAAGATGTCACTACTTGGTGGGAAAACCCCGTCTGCAGCGTGTACTCTTGTTTGAAAAATATGAAACTTTTTGTCTTTGCCGTCAAAAAATACTGTGTGTTCTGTCTACTACAACCCAAAAAAAAAATCTGTCTGCAACCCTTCGTCAATATTAGAACTTTTTCTACTAGCGTGATGTGCGTGATATCATATTTATCTAAATAACTTCGCTACAAAAAAAAGAAAAAAAAATGAAGCAAGAAAGAATGAAAGCGAGACATGCAACTGCTCTCAACCAGAAAATTAAGATGATTATATGGTTCATGTGTTGGATACCACACTACAAAGCCATAAACTGAACTAATTCTATCAAACGGTTAAAAAGAAATCACGTGTACAAGATGCTTTGAGGAAGGAAGCTCAATTGAAAGACAATGGATAATAGAGAAGAACATGGTGCCTAGATTTTGAAGAGAGTTTCATAGATTGAGCACAAAAAAAAAAAGAAAAAAAAGGAGTGGCTCTTTGTGTTTGTTAATGTACTGTCGGCTGTGAGGTGAGAGTTGTTGGTCTGAGATTGGTCGGATTTGTCACACGCTGCACTTTTGTCAGTGACAGCAACACGGCCCCCATATGAAGCACGTTCAGGCCACACTGGTGCATGAGTAATTTCGCAGGTGAAGTCGTCTAGGATCGTAGGCTCGTAGCTATTGCTCGGAGAGAGAAACCGCAGGCTGGACGCCTAGTCTTTGGACAACATAACATCTATTTTCCTTTCTAAAATTTTTAAACAATATCTTCGGTAAAAGAACTTGAGATAAAGAGCAACAATAACCATAAACTTTTTTTTGCACATCAAATATTTCCAATTATCGAGTCTGAAGCCAGCGCAAATGATACGGTAGAAATAGCTTGTCCATTCCAAACTTCAAACCCAAGCTGAAGTGCTTTTGAAGTCACAAACCAGCTTGTCATGGTTCCAGTGGCTAAAAAACTGAACCAAGAGTTAAAACTGATTTTGTTAGGCCAACGTTTTTTGACTCCAACCGGTTTTGACTTCAGCTAGTTTTGTTTTGGTTGACTTCAGCTAGTTTTGTTTTGGTCCACCTACGTCCTGATCCGTAACTAAATCGGTTTAGCCTACGACCGGTTTAGCGCAGAATTGCCAAACTGGCCCTTATTAAACATAATACTAATGTGAATTGTATAAATTGTTGATACACTTGATTCGGTGTAATAGCACAACGTTCTACACAAAAACCCTTTTGGGTTTACACTGTCGCAATATCCCACGATAAACTTCATTGAACATTTCTCAATGTCATAGAACTCTCAAAACCTTTATAAGTTCTTTACTCTACACGCCGGGAATGGGGAATTGATTAGTGAGGGCTTCAACCCTCCTCCTGAGCTCAGAAGTGGCATTCGTAAGGGGAAAATCTGAAGACTCGACGAAATCTATGAAATCTTTGAGCTTTGCTCCTGGGGCACGAGCTTTAGCTGTGAGCGCAATCTGCACTCCGTCATGAATGAAATCGGCAACCATTCTGAAATCCTTCTCCTTCAGTCCTCTAGTAGTCATCGCTGGTGTCCCAATGCGGATCCCACCAGGGACTAGGGCACTCTTATCGCCTACAAGATGGAAGGAAAATAAAATAAGGTTTCCAGTTAGAATGAGTGTAGATGAATGAAACAGAAAGATTATAGAAGAAAGAACTTTATGTGTTCTCTCACCAGGAACAGAGTTCTTGTTCAGTGTGATAGAACTGATGTCGAGAATTTTCTCTACACGAGCTCCATCAATACCCTATAAGTGAGAATCGTGTGAGTTAGTGAAGGAAGAGAGATGTTAATTAAATATGTGGGCTTCTTCCGAGTGATCAACCGCAGGATAATTTGGTAATTAACCGTTCCTGGTTAATCACTAACACAACCATGGTTAACAATTTGGACTGGGAAATGTAACAAAGGGACTGCTTTCAAAGCATTTAACAGATTTGAGGAACTAATTTCAAATATGAAGATTTGGGGGACTACTTTCAAAATATGCAAGATTTGAGGACTAATATCGAAAAGGCCCTTTAATTTTTTTAATGGAATTGTCATGTAGATATGTTATAATAAATAATCAACATACAATACGTTTAAAAAAAAATGGCACACATTGGTTCTCGATGGAAAGACGAAAAATGAAAAGCCAAGTTGCATAGCTTATATAAAGTTAACTTAAATGTACACAAAACATTAATATCTGTCAGATGAATGATAATCTTTAGTCAAATTATCATAACTCAACATAAACATTCATGACACTAATGGAAAAGATATGTCAGCTTCTAAGGATATAGATTGACAAGCAAGCATAGAACTGAAAATGCATGATCATACCAGAGGTCTCACATCCACTAAAACAAGATGATTGTCACTTCCACCAGAAACTAATTTGTAACCGAGTTCGACTAATCTGGATGCCAAAGCTTTGCAGTTGGATATCACCTGCAAAATTATTAGCTATATGAAGCCCAGAGGGCAAAAAATGAATATCATAGTACAGAGGCAGGAGAAAAATATAGTACCTGGCTCTGATAAGTCTTGAATTCAGGTGATTGGGCATGATGTAAACACACAGCAAGTGCACCAATTGTGTGATTATGAGGACCCCCCTAGGAAAAAAAGACTTTTAACTTGAATGTTTTTCATATCACTAATGACATCATTGACATGTAAACACTAGTCGGAAAATTTCTTGGGATTATAGAACGTGCATACCTGCAAACCAGGGAAAACAGCATTGTTTATAGCAGTCCCTAAATCAACACCAAGAACTGGATCCTTCTTGTAAAAGATCATACCACCTCTTGGACCACGCAATGACTGTATTGAACCACATAAACTGTGAGATTATAAATACTGAACATGTAGATGAAAGAAGTTAAAGAATGTGAGGGAGAGATGAGTAGGCATTTTATCACTTTGACTGTAAATAAGTAATTTTTTCTCCACTTAAATTTCCAAGTGTAGTGAACTCACTAGTACTCAGCAATAAGCTAGCAATTTGACAAGGGGATGCATTAGAAACTACTGCCATTGATTATCATTACAAAAAAAAAATTATTGAATTAATAAAATTATGATTGACTGCTTCATGGTTTAGGAATAGATGGTGGCTAGAGCTTCCAGATATCAGAACAATTAATACGTCAGTAACCGTACATAAACCCTGTTCCCTCAAAGAAAGATAATAAAATTAACGTTAAACTAAATGATACAGCATCAAATTCATATGGTCACAAAAATCAGTAAGAAATCACAGAGACCAACTGTTTCATCTACATACATGCTTCTTCCTGCTTTTACTTTGTTCACCCATATTACAACAAATATCTTGTGATCTTCCCCGTCAATTCCTCAGACAGAAGTATTTTTGCAGTTCCCTATAGAAAATCTACCAACCTTCAACGACAATCTTCCCACTCAATAAGAATTTATGAGAGGTTCTTCCCCATTGAGTGTTTTTTAAAAAAAATGCTTGATGGAGAGAGATGTCCCTACCACCAAATGACCTTTTATGTTTATGATAATCTCATACGTTATCCACAATTTCTTTGCCTCTGTATTTGACACCAAATTTCATTCTTGATTTCAAGTTGAAGACCTATCAGTAAAAATTTCCCAATATTCAAGCAGTCTTTTGCTCCGTGGCCAACCCTAATTTGCTGGGAAAAGGGCTAGGAGGTGTTCGTTTGTATGCAAGTCAAAAATGAGAGTGAGAAAGTGACTCACGTTTTAACACTTTAGGCATTACTTTGCATGTGCAAAAAATTTACCTCATAGAGTTTAATGCAATTAATTCCTCTAAAAGAAAGGTGAAGTCACATGAAAGTGAAAAGTTGGGCACCACTTTTAATTAATTTACCTTTATTATATTTAGGGAAAACTGCTTCCACTTCCCTAGAATTTAAAACTTAAAAGTCATACCTCCCACGTCAAGAAAAAAATTTCAACTGCTTCTAACCCCCAGAACGTTATATTTCTTTATAACCACCCCACCCCCACCTCACACACAGACATAAAAGCATCTTTGGGACAACACACATCTCTATACAAAAATTCATTCCAATTCTATACCCCATACCCTCTTCGGACCAGTCCCTGTTTCGTCCCCACCAAGAGTCTCAACACCAGCAACATCGTCCTACCCACCAGAGAAAAAAGAGGCATATTGCCGTCGATTTGTCTTCTGACCGGCGACAATCAGACTCCCCAGAAACCAAACCGTAACAACACCCTCTTGCCAAAACCACTCTCCTCCAAAGTATCTTTGAGATCGTCGATGCATGTCCTCGAAATTTCATTAGAATTCGCCGGTTCTCTTAGGAAAACATGCCCTGGAAAATGTGAATCTTTGTTCCTTTCTTTTTCATTTGCTTGTAAGAAGCAATTCTCTAGGGTTTTGATGATTTGACCACAGCCTTGAACTATTGATTGAATCAGATGTAAGAACTTGGAGTAAAGGAAAGAAAAAAAAAATTTGACTTGCGCATCAATGTGACTGACTTAAACAACAGACCTTGTTCCTTTTAGAGTTTTTCTTGTTAATTTTACTCCTTTTTTTGGGGGGGGTACATCAATATCACTGAATGATTCCGCCATCATTACTGCTTCTTCTGTTCATTTGAGTGGTAATCACCAACAAAACATTTACATCCAACATCATGTGAAAAATGAGCTCCTTTATTTGGAATCATGTGGTTGTTTTGGTTGAAACACCTAGAAGACAACGACGAAAGTCTATTCAAGTACGCCAGATAATTCACTGTCAGCTGTTAAATGACAAAAGAGGGGTATTTTAGGGTTAATTGATGATAGTGGTGGGGACAAGGTGTTCTCTGGATTAAAAGTTCAGGAGTTAAAGACAGTTGAATTTTTTTTCCTTGGTGGGGAAAGCTTGTCCTTTAAAACACAGGCGTGGAGGCGATTTCCCTTTATATTTTTTGTTAGTAACTCCTATTTTGCCACATCATCTCCACCTTTGTCCTTCCAACAATAACTTTATACTTAAACAAACATTGTATTTCACTAGCATGCTAATGTAAATTTAAAAGTCATTAATAAAAAAGGGAACTTTCACACTCTCAACTTGTGAAACACCCCCTTAAATGGTGAAGATGATGGCAATCCATAAATAAATCTTAATCAAGCATGACATCGTTATCAACTTCCCCCAGTCCATCAGAAAGATTTAAACAAAAACACATGAATGATGTTAAAGATTTTACACATATTAATGAAGTTCACATTTATTAAATGAAAACAACGTGGATAGTATAACATCGAAACTGAAAACGCAGATTCTAGATTAGAGTAACATGTGTTTCAATTGACTTAGAAAAGTACAAATAAAAAATTGGTCCACCATCACAAAGTATGGTATTACAACAATGGAGTTTGTAGATTCTCCAATATAATTTGGCTGAGATCAAACATTGATATACATGCAGGACGAAAGACTTAATGGCACTTAGGCAAGATATTACTATTGCTGCACAAAGTGCAATGATTTTAATATCACTTGCAGGTATTTCTTATTTACATTGTAGAAAATAACACCTTTGAATCATACAAAGTACCTATCAGAAATTTAAAAGATGGATAAATTTCCAAAATACATATGATATTACTGCCTGCATAACGAAAACAAAGATAATGTTAAAATATAGTATATTTGGATAGTGTTTACTTCATACCTTGTGTGTAGTTGTGGTAACCACATCACAATACTCAAAGGGGTCAGCAACAACTGAAGCAGCAACAAGCCCACTGATGTGAGCCATGTCCATCATAAGAAATGCTCCCACAGAGTCTGCTATCTAGTAATTTATGTTAAGTTGGCATCAGAATCCTGATACAGATGGGCATAAAAAAACTCATGACAACATCAATCTCTCAGAACATATAAAAAACTTAGAACATATACCTTCCTCATACATGGATAATCAAAGTCCCTAGGATATGCACTTGCACCAGCAATTATCAACTTTGGTCGGAAAAGGACAGCTGATTTCTCGAGCATATCATAATCAACATAGCCTGATTCGAAGTGAATGGAAAGTTTTAAGCAGAAATAAACAAAATGTATATGCAAATTACAAAAAGAAAAAAGAAGTGTATGTGCAAACTAAATTAGACATCATTACTAAAAGAGTTAATTACACATAAGCCCCTTCTAGAATCATTGTTTTGAACTTACTAACCCTGTAGTACTATTGCTTCATATAGACCACCCCCCTCCCCCGGGTTATATCTTGTTGACTTATCAACCTGGGTGAAATTTTGGTCTATATTGCCCCTAGGTGAAATTAGTTAGTCTATCTGAGGGTAAAAGAGTAAAAATATTTAAGCAAAGGGGTCTATCTGCAACAATGAAACTACAAAGGTAGTAAGTTCAAAATAGTGATACACTGATACTAAAGTCTAAAAGGGGTCTACGTGTAATTAACCCTTTTTTTAAAAGCGTGATTAACCTGTAGATTCATCAAGGCGATATGGCATGGATTCAAAGAATATTGAGGTGCCTGACACTCGCCTTTTAGGAGTCATAAAGCCATGAGATAAGTGGCCTCCATGAGGTAGATCAAGGCCCTACATCAAATTACGACCACAGATAACTCCAAACGCACTCAATATGCTTGTCGAAGGAAGAACATAGTGAGGGCAAAAGGCTATGGACAAGAAATAGTAGCATTGAGTTATACCATTATTCGATCGTGAGGATTGAGGAGAGCAGTGTAAACTTCAAAATTAGCAGGAGAACCAGATAATGGCTGAACATTAACACCCCATTTGCTTTCATCCAGGTGGAATGCTTGCAGAGCTCTTTTCTGGCAGAGGGTCTCCACTTGGTCAATGTATTCATTGCCTCCGTAATATCTGAATCAGATTAAAAAGCAAGTAAACTTGAACCAGATTTATTAAGGAGAAAACAGTATAGAAACCAAATTTATCTAGGGTCGTAGTTGTATAAATTACCTTTTACCAGGCAATCCTTCAGAATATTTGTTGGTGAGACATGAACCAGATGCTTCCATGACAGCCCGAGATGTGAAATTTTCAGAAGCAATTAGTTCTAAGCAGTTAAATTGTCGCTGTTTTTCCTTTTGGATAAGTGTATGAAGTTCAGGATCTGCATCCTCAAGGGGATAATCCACAAAGCTGTTCACATTTTCTACAGGAGATGTGAGCATCAGACTAAGCAAAAGTGATGTTGCTTGAGGTTAAAACATAGTTGCATGGAACCCGGTTCGTTCCGGTTCAGGGGACGGGTAGAGCAGCGTCATATGCCACTCATTAGGAATCGAGTATGAGAGGGTAGCCTTAATCCTCTTACTCATTCTGAATAAAAAAGGGGAAAAAAGAGTATTGAGAGGGAAGGCTTACACAGTACGGCAGGGAACATGGTACATTTTAGGTTTGGTTCTTAAATGTAGGAATCAGAGGTTTTGCAAGAGTAATGGTAAAAGAACCTTGAGAATCATATTGCAGCTAAGGTTTGCATACTTCATTAGTTTAATTTCTCACATTTTTTATTGTTTTTTTCTTTTGAAAAAGAGTTGCTTTTTCAAACTTTAAGCTGGTTGGAATTCTAATCAGGTGGCTGGAGTCGGTGAAGTGTCCACCATGAACCCGGTGGACACGAACCCGGAATGACTGAATCCAGGTTGCGGTTCACTATAGAATCCCACATTTCTAACTTTTAAAACATAAAATAAGGTATATAACTTTCACAGAAGAGAGACATATGCACTAAGTTGTAAGCCATAAGTCTCCTGGTTTCCATCTTGAAAATAAAATGAAGCCACAGAAAGAAGCAAAGACAGGGATACCACTATCATCTATGGACTTGTGTTGGTGCTGAACAAAACAGAGGATCATAGGTCCAACAACAACAAAGGCTTTATCCTAATTTTCAGGTTCGGCTGCATGAATCCTATTCTTCCTTGGCATTCATTTCATGTAGATCCAGCTATGTTTTACGTTGGTTTTCTACTAACTAACACAGCCCTTCTTTATCCTGGCTCACGATAAGCAGTACTGGCAGTAAAAATAAAGCACAAAACTGGCATGTGTTCAAATTTGCTCCTAAACCATACATTCACTCTTAAGCTTAAAGTGCAATAGCACATCAAACTACTTAAATGAAAATAGTAGCGACCTCTCACTAATAACGATAATATCAAGACATAACCCAAACGCCCCGCACAAGGGCATGACCTACGGCTCAAAGGAATTCCCCATACAATGAGTGTTCCATGTTACACAAAGCCTCAATCTTGAACCTCAAAACTTATCTTCAGAGCTTGACGCTAAGCCTTAAAAAAAACTTCCCCAGAACCGATCAAACCCTTTCAAGCTACCAAGTTACTTATGCACTTACAATAACAACAAACTAAAGGAGTAGTCACAGCAATAACATGCAACTTCTAGATGTATGCTTCTCACAATGCTCCACATTACAATGTGTAAGCAACTCTATCCATGGTAAAGTTGGTAACATAACTCTTAAGGCCACATTTGTTTTTTTTATCTATGGACTAGAAGGTGTTGTATTCCCTAAATTATAGTACTGAGACAAGATTATATTGGAACTATTTTAGTCCAATCCAATCTTTGTATTCACATGTACTAACAATCGGATTAACTAAAACAGTCCATATTGGTGTTTGTTTTTAGGGGCACTGAGAACCGATCGACCCCACCATCCGCGGCAGCTCGTCCTAGAGGACGGAGCGTCACCCGCCAGGTGGGGGCCAGGCTACTTCTGTCTAACATATCACATTAAAAATGCATATTATTTTGTTTTCTTTCCTCTAAAAACTAATTATTTTATTAAAGGCACTGCTTGGGGGGGGGGGCAGGGGGTTTGTCGGAGGGCAGGGGGAGTTATCAAACACTTTTAGGCAATGCAAATCATACACTAAACAGGTCAATAAAAATACACTTGAATCTTTTTTTAAATAATAATTACAATATTATTCTTACACCAGTATCTAGCATTGAAACAATACAAAAGAGAATTATTACTATTTCCCTATCAAGCTGTACTTAATTATTTCATAGCAGAATGTAAGTTTATATTCTAATGTTCAATGCTATTCATTACTATCCCTCCTCCATGGCAGAATGTATGTTTAATGCAAACCATTCATTTTCTTAAGAATGATAAGCAATGTAGTAATGTTGCATTTTTTTAAATTAAATACGGTGAAAATAATTTGCAGAAAAAAAACTGCTGAAAAATAAACTACCAACAGAATAAAATCGCAGAAAAATATCTTTAGAACTAGAAGGGTATGGATTTTTTTAATTATTAATCCCCCTAGATAGTATTTGGATTGTAAGATGGGGGCGGGATGGGTTTACTGTAGCCCCATTCGGGTATTAAGTAGCCCCTACTTCAAGATAGTCCAAACAAAAAAAGGATGGCTATAAAGATGGGTCAGGACTATTTTAAAAGGGCAAATTTTTGAAATCAACCATTTTGAGAATTTAATCAGCAAAAACGACCCGATTAGGAAACAATTAGCAAAATCGACTGCTCGTCGTGAGAGAACGGTCGATTTTGCTGAAATGCAATTTCTACGATACACAGGACTACTAGTCCCGTGTAATTTAAAGCCTTAGTTAAGCAGCCAATTTATACGGGACTAGTAGTCCCGTCCATTTTCCATTTCCTTGGCATGGCTAATGATGGATTAACAGGCCCTAATTACATGGGACTAGTAGTCCCGTGTAATTAAAAAAACCCTTCAGCAAAATCGACCGTTTTCTACCCGCGAGGGCTAAAACGGTCGATTTTGCTCATTTTTAAGAGAGAAGGTCGTTTTTGCTGATTAAATTCTCAAAATGGTTGATTTTAAAAAATTTCTCCATTTTAAATAGTACCCTCACTATAACAAAAACAAACATGGTCTAAAAAAGTATGGATATATACCCCCAGTCACTGTGTCTTGGGTTGAAGCAGATGAAGATGGTGTTCCAGTGACCAAACTCCCTTTAACACTAGAAACCCTGCATCGCCGAGAAAAGCTAACCCGATGCTCATTTGTAGTAAAGACCTTCGAACACAACCCGGGATTCTTAGTACAGAAAGTTTGATGAAGAGAACCCATCACTGCTCCACTGTATGCAGACATTTATACAAAATTACCCTACAAAAATTAGGATAGGTTAAAGGGGAAAAACCCTTTTTTCTCCTAAATTCATCGGGTTCTCTTAAACCAATTTTGCTTATTTCGGAAAATAAATTGGATACTGCGAAAATGTTAGCCAAGCGTAAGTACAGTTATTCATACAAAGATCAAAACATTCCTGTTTCCAGCATAAAAGGATTCCCAGCGGACCCAAATATTAATAAAATTATACCTAAAGAATTAATTCAACAATTTCCTCTAAAAAGGGAAGCGATACAAGCAAACCAACCTCGCTTAAATACCCAAAAAAGGGGGCAAAATAAATCTAATTAAAAAAAGGGATTTTTTTTACCTTGAAATTAGCTAGAAAATATCTCCCATCCCTCTTATTCCTAAGAATATCCAAGGTTTATGGCTTTGGAACTCGTTCACTGTATTCGGGCTAAAACCCGAAAATACCCGCCGAAAATGCAGCGATTATAGAGGTTGGATTGGGCCTGGGCCGCTGAACCCATAAGCTAGTAGAGAATCTGGGGTAATATATGATATGAAATTAGAAATTTTGTGGTTTTTTTTATTATAGCCCCTTATATCTTCAATCATTCCATATTGGTCCATCAGATCTTTAAAATTGCTCATAAGCCCCTCAAATTGTAGGGGTCATGTAAATTGGTCCCTAAATGACCAAAATGACCCTCATCTTATGTTTTTGTGAACACGTGTTTTGGGGGGAAACATGAGCTTAAAACATTTTGGTCATTGAAGGACCAATGTAAGAGACTTTTTGTGACTTGAGGTACACATGTTATGAGCAATTTCAAAGATTTGAGGGACTAATATGAAGTTATCAAATACTTGAGGGACTAATGTTTAAAAAATTCTAGAAAGTTTTGTAATTTTGGAAACTCAGGGTGCCTCCTAAAAATGGGATAGATCTTTGTTTAGAAAAAACGGAACACGTGTCTGGTTAGGTTAAAAAATGCCCCTAAACCTATTTTTGTTCTAACAGAAGCAATTCATCTCAAAAACTGAGTCATGACTGACCCTAGTATAGCTTTGAGGAATTTGACAATATGACACAAATTACTAAGGCCCAGTTTGACATTGTTTTTTTAAGGATGTTTCTGCTTATTTTTTTTAAAAAAAAGACAATCAATAGTGATGTTAGGTTAAAAAAAGAATTGTCTGCTTATTAAAATTACTTCTACTTTTAAGGGAATGCTTTTAGAAACATCAAGATGCTTTTAAAAGTAACTTTTGTTTTGTTTTTACTTTGTATACCATATATAGTCTTAATTTTTTGGCAATGATTTTTAAATAGTGTTTTGCCAAACACCTAAACTAATTTTCAAAATAATTTTAAATATATGACCACCAAACAACTATTTTCAGCAGCTTATATAAGTTATTTCTATAAATTATTCATATAAGCAACTTATTATAAGCTCCAGTAATACAAATCAGCCCTAAGACCCTAGAGTGCTCTCTCTTGTGAAATGTAAAATTTCAAAATAAAGATGTTCCCCATTTGGATTTGTCTAATATGGATCCTCCAATTCTTCTTTGTTTCAAAGTGTCCTCTGATTTTGTGAAAAGCTCCAAATTCCTTCGAGTTACAGCTCAGGCCTACTGAAGATTGTGGCCAACGATTATCGGTGTTAGCCAGCAACAACGACACGAGTATAATGAAAATAACAAACGATTGCTTAGCTAATTATATGTTAAAATAACATATTTTAATTAGAGGAACTTATTTGGTATAACTTAAAAAAATTTACTAATGACTTCTTTCAATACTAGAGTCTTTTGTTCCGGCGAAAACTAGTGTCTTTTGTGAGATTTATTTTAAAATAAATGAGAAATTGAATGACGGTTATCAGAAAACCCGTATTTATTTCATATTTCCAGTTAAATTAACATATGATAGATAGCTAATAAGGTTTGATAGATCGGCTGTGGTTTCTTTATGAAATACCATCATGTTTTTTAAAAAAAATGAAGGTTAAGGGCTGATTAAGTCGTAAAAGAATGTATGACTAAAGGTAGTGTAAAAAAAAGGAAGGTTAAGGGTTGATTAAGTCGTAAAAGAATGTATGATTAAAGGTAGTGGTCTACCATAGTGTTCGTAGCAGAGAGAATGCAAACCCTTCTTTCTCATGCCTTGCTAAAACTTATAATTCCCGAACCCTTACTGCAACATTAGAGCTTGGACGTAGTGATAGGGTCATTGGCATGGTATTAGAGCAACCCAAGTGCAAATTTTACAAGTAAAGAATTTCTGAAGAGGATTCCTAAAAAGGTACTTGTTGACGAGTCGGTTGTCAAATGTAGTTTGGGAAAACCCTAGTGAGATTATTAGCTCTCTCTAAAGGATGTTATTTATAGTGTTTAGGGAAACAAAGAAATTTGTCCCTACCCTATGTGGGACTAAACAAAAGTAAACACTACTCTCAACAACTACTCTCAACACTCCCCCTCAAGCTGAATATACATATCATACATGCCTAGCTTGTTACAAATAAAATTCACTCGTGTTCTCCCAAGAGATTTAGTAAAAATATCTGCAAGTTGATGGTCTGATGGTATTTACTTGGTTCTAATGATTCTCTTCTCCAACTTCTCTCGAATCAAGTGGCAATCAAACTATTTGTGTTTTGTCCTCTCATGAAACACCGGTTTTGCAGCTATGTAAATGGTGGCCTTGTTATCTCCATACAAGCTCATGGGACACTCCAAAGGATAACCAATCTCTGTTAGTATATCACTAACCCGGATCAGCTCGCAAATCAAATTCGCCATGGCTCGATACTCAAACTCAGTTGTAGATCGAGAGACTACACTTTGTTTTTTACTCTTCCATGATATGAGATTCCCTCCAAGAAACATACAATACCCAATAATTGACCATCTATCCTTATGAGATCCTACCCAATTTGCATCTAAGAATCCTGCAATTCTTGTGTGATTGCTATTTGAATAGATTACTCCTTTTCCTGGAGTTTTCTTGAGATACCAAAGAATCCTCTTCACAACTTCCACATGAGATTTACTAGGTGCCGAGAGAAATTGACTGACTACACTAACAGAATATGCAATATCCAGTCTCATGACCGTTAGGTAGTTTAGTTTCCATACAAGTCGCATGTATTCTTCAGTATCCTCCAGTAACTCCCCATGAGTTGATAGTAGTTTGATTTTATCATCCATAGGTGAATCCATGCCCTTGCATTCTGACATCCCAACATTTAGCAGCATATCGAGTACTATTTTCTCTAGGATAAGAGAATTTCCTTCTTTGATCTAGATATCTCGATACCCAAAAAGTATTTTAAGGTTCCAAGGTCCTTAGTTTGAAATTGTTATTGTAGATATTTCTTCAAATGACTAATGCTCTGTGCATCATCGTCAGTGATGACAATGTCATTAACATATACAACTAAAAGGATCCATTTCCATCATGAAATCTCCAAAAAACTGAGTGGTCTTTCTGAGCACAATGAAGACAAAAGGTCTAGACAACAGCGACAAAACGTCCAAACCAAGCCTTTGAATATTGCTTCAAACCATAGAGAGATTTCTTTAATCTGCAAACCTTGCCACACTACCCCTGAGCAACAAAACTTGGTGGTTCCATATAAACCTCCTCATCAAGAATGTTATTAAGGAATATATTTTTAACATCCAACTGATGTAGTGGCTAGTGATAGTGAGCAGTGAGCGAAATAAGAATGTGTACAGATGACATTTTAACTTCAGGAGAGAATGTATTGATATAATCAAGGCTATATATCTGTGAATACCCCTTCGTAACTAGTCGAGCTTTGAGGAGAGCTAGAGAACCATCTTGATTTACTTTTACGGTGTAAACATATTTGCAGCCAACCGCTTTCTTCCTTGGCGGTAGAGAAACAAGATCCCAAGTCCCATTTCTATCTAAGACCATCATTTCTTCTTGCATTGCCACTGTCCAACATAGGTTAGACAGAGCTTCTGACAAATTCTTAGGAACCGAGTGACAAATTCTTGGGAACCGAGTGAGAATCCAAAGAAGATATGAATGAATAATATGATGGAGTTAATGAAGCGTAAGAGACATAGTGTACAAGAGGATACCGAGAACTTCGAGAAAATATCTTTTTCCTTTTGGAGGGCAATAGAGAGATCATCAGTAGCCTGAGCACTTGGCTGTATGGACACATTTTGACTTGTTAGTGTATCAGGCTCTTGGGTGGATTAAGACGATGGCTCAGGTTGCGAATCAGCATGTCTTGTATAAATCTGAATTGGTTCCGTAAATTTGGATGGTAGTTCAGTTTGTACAGCAGCCTTAGAAGGAACATTGATAGTGGTTTTTTGAACAAGAAGGTAGTCATAATTATTGGGAGGATATAAGGATTTATCAAAGACAACATGTCCTGGTTTGTTCTAAAAAAGACAAGATCGGCTGAAATAATATATCGATTCAAGGAAGGACAATAACATCCATACCATTTTGAGTCCGAGAATATCTAAGAAAGCCACCCTTAAGAGATCATGGATCTAATTTTGTCTGTTGAGGACTATGATTGTGAACAAAGCACAGAGACCCAAAGATTTTAGGAGGTAAATGAAAAGCGTCTTCAGCTGGATATAAAAGAGAGATCATAGTTTTATTCTGTAAGATTGATGAGGATAGTCTATTGATCAGGTATCATGCTGTCAAAATGGCATTGCCCCAAAAATGTTTTGGAACTTGACGATGAAATAATAAGGTCCTAGCAATTTCTAGCAATTGTACGTCCTTGTGCTCAGCAATCCTATTTTGTTATGGTGTGTAAGTACAAGAAGACTGATGTAAAATTCTATTTTCTTCCAAATATTTTATAAAAGAACTCTCAAAATATTCCTTAGCATTATTTGTCTTTAATGTTTTGATGGTAGTGTGAAATTGATTTTTAACCTCAGCACAAAAAACTTTAAAGGCAGAGAACACTTCAGAACAACTCTTCAGCAGGTAAATCCAAGTCATGCGAGAAAAGTCATTTACAAAACTAAAAAAAAATACTAAAAACCTAGTTTGGATGGAAAAGAACAAGGACCCCATACGTCGGAATGTAGTAAATCAAAAGGGTTACTAACTCGCTTATTGACGTGACTCAGGTAAGACACCTGTTGGTATTTTTCGAGTTGACATGACTCTCACTTTAAAGAATCGACATGGTTTAAACCTGAAATCAAAATTTTAAGAAGTGAAAGAGGGGGATGACGAAGCCGACAATGTGCTTCAAAGGATAATATGGAGCTAATACATGCCACTTGGGAAGGGGAAAAGTTTACTTCGTACAAGTCATTGCGTTCACGTCCAGTGCTAATCGTCTTCCTCGTTCCAAGTTCCTGAAAAATACAATATGTAGGAAAAATGTGACTGTAGGCAATAAAAATAGCCTTTAATCCTTATCAGAGAAGTTCAGAACAAAACTGCTAAAACCTCGCCCGAAATAGCAGAAAAAGGGGAAAACGCAGATATCTCCCAAACCGTAAGGAATTTGGCGAAACGGAGGAAGCGAACCAAAGCCGATTTACGGTTTGAAAGTTACGGCCTATTCTTCGATCCATGCTATAGAGCTCGCCTAACGGCTTGAAGATCGCCTGCAGTATCAAATCCGCTCTGCGCACCTGAGCTCGCCTGCAGACCCAGTTCGCCTGCAAGCTCGCCTGCAGACCCAAGTCTGCCTGCTGTCCCAAACTCGCCTGTAGACTCAGCTCGCCTGCAGACCCAAGTCTGCCTACAGTCCTAAGCTCGCCTGCGGACCCAAGCTGCAGACTCGCCAGCTCACTCAACTGCCCACTTGGAGTATGGGAACAGTTACATTAGTGGTCAAATCCCACAAATCAAGGGAGAGGGCACAGTACCCCAAGACCGTCAAGCGACCGCTCACAGTACGAATGGTTGGGCAGGTGTCAAGTCGACCTGAACATTCATAAATGCAGCTCACCTCGGCTGTCCGAATCAGGAGCCGGATCCGCCGGCATTCGGCGAGCTGTCCATGCCCACTCGAGTACCGGGAACCCGCTTTCCCACCTCTCTCGTCCAGGCCCGTCAGATGGCCGTCCACAGTACGAATGAGCGGACAGGCGCCGAAACAGCCTGCACCCTCATAAATGCGGCTCACCTCAGTTGTCCAGGTGAAGGGACGAGAGCCGCCAACGCTCGGTGGTTGGTCAGATCCACGCAAGCATCTGACAGCCGTTGTCACGCATACGAGGAGGGGCTTTCCCACTCCTATGTAGCGTGATGCAGAGCACAGCTCTTCGAATGACCATTGACGGTACGAATGAACAGCAGGACGTCTCCGAACAACGTGTGGTCACATCCCATAATTCAAGGAGCAGTCAAGCTGTCTCCCTCACGTGGTCAAATCCCATGAATCAAGGGATGGCCCATGTCATCCCTTGCCTATTAAAACCCATCTTCAGCAGCATGAAGAGGGGGGATTGGCTGTTGCATATTCTGCTGGCTAATCTCCCAAAGGTTGAACCTGGACCTTTGCCAAAGGCTCCCTCGTTTGAGAACTGAAGCTCCGGCAGCAACTTCGATCGGATCGTCCAAGGGAAGCAGACTCAGCACGAGCACCGAGCGAGGCGTCCTATCGCCACCGAGGAACCCACGTTAAACAAGGAGGGCCTTCCCTCCGCTTCTGTTGTAAACATTTGATTTATTAGTTTATAATAAGCCTTCTTATCAATACAAATGAAGTTCCCTGTTTTCGGGAGATCAAAATTTACACATACAGAAGATGGCGACCACAGTGGGAGAATCCGTTCATTCAGATGAATTGGTGGTGGCGCAGTCTGACGAAGTTGCTGCAGGGACCACGGTTGAGTCCCTTGTGATCAAATTCGAGGGGTACTTACAATCGTCCTCTTCTGGCGGCAATACATCTCACGATGACTGCAGAGTCGTGCGGGTGGCCCAGTCCCAAGAAACCGAGGCAACCAAGCCTCAGGGATCTACCCAAGCCGAGGCAGGGGGTTCTTTTCCCCCCAAACCAGTTGAGGCCGAGCCAAGATTCGAGAATGCGGGTCTAGGAGCTGCTGGGTGGGTCGATGAACGATCCTCGCAGACCCCTGTGCAAAAGGAATCAACCATTCGTGTCGACGCAGAATACGCCTCCGCCCTCACCAATCTCGCCTGATGGCCCAAGTTCGCCAGAAAGGCGAAGCAACATCTCGCCAGACAGGCGCAGGCACACTGTACCAATCTCGCCTGACGGGTGAACCTCGCCAGCCTGAACCTCGCCAACACGCTCACGCCCAAATGGGGGTGGCCACTCTGTTTGCCTGCACGGATCTGACGTCCGTCTCTGACCACGACGACGACGATTGCTCGGCAACGGCAACGTCGCAGACTTCAAGCTCAATTCGAGGCAGGCACGTGAGTGTGCACATGACCGACATCCCTGAGGAGATGTCTAGGAGGCTCGACGAGCAACAAGCAACCATCGACTCCCTAAAGGAGATGTTGGAGCAGCTCCTGAGCGAGAAAAAGAGGAAGAGAGAGAGGACTTCGCGGGCTTCGCATAAATCCTTGAAGCACAAAGGGCGGGTGCCAACTCCTTCTCACTCCTCATCCGAGTCATCTAGAGGAGCATCATCTTCGGGCCATAACCCAAGAGACAAGAGGTTTGACGATCTCCAAAGTCAACTCGATGCCTTGAAGCTCTAGAAGCATGTGAACAAGCTGGGGGTTGTCAGACCGTATCCAATTGAATGGGATGCGGTCTCCTACCCGGCAAAGTTCGAGCCGCTGGACCTCCTGCAGTTCAATGGAAAGGGTTCTCCTACCCAGCACATCTACTACTTCCAGGCGCAAACTGGACACATAGTGGGAAACGATCCCATTATGACTCGACTGTTCATTGGTACCCTCAAGGGGGTCGCTTTTGAATGGTTTCGCAGATTGGAGCCTGGGTCCATCACCTGCTGGAAGGACATGGAAAGGCTCTTCGTGGCCAGATTCTTCGATGATGACACAGAAGTATCTATGGCCACCCTGCTAACTGTGAAGCAGAGGAAGACAGAGTCTGTAAGCAGCTTTGTCAAGAGATTCAGAAACCGATCGTTGCATTCCCGCGATCGAGTTTCCGAGGCCACGCTCATCGAGATGTGCCGGAACAATCTCTCCATCAGCGTTCTGTCCAATATGGGCGCTGTTGAAGCTCGCTCATGGAAAGACTTACTCCGTCAAGGAGAACAAGTCGAGAGCATGCTCAAGC